CAATTATGTTATCAAACTTCTTCATTTATTCATTCTCATCCGACAATGTTATCAAAACGTATAAAATCATAGTCATAACTCATAACAGACACCGTTTAGTTCAGACACAGTAGTTCATCTCTTGTCATATACCGAAGTTAGTAAAATATCAATGTGTAAATAAAGTTTAGTTAAACCGATTCGCAGAATAAGTTCTTTGTTCCTCAAGTAATTGGTTCATACGTTTAAATGCACTATCTCATACGTCATCAACAAAATGTTGCAATTTCTGCAAACGAAATAACCATACTTCTAAAGAATGTCGGAAGAAAAACCATCAACATCACCAATTTCCTCAAAATAATCGAAACCCTAGTAATGAACCAAATACTATCACACGGTCAAGTAATTCAAATCCAAATCTAAATCCAAGCTATCAGAATAAATTCTGTCACTATTGTAAAAAGAATGGTCATTTAATCAACGAATGTCGAAAAAGACAATATAATAATAATAGAAATCAAAACACAAGTTCACAGGTAAACTTATCAAACAATCAGAGTAATTTAAACTACTCACAATTTCAGATCAACGTCGTATCTGTGGATTCCCTATAATCAAAAGCGACGATCCACTCCCAGAAACTCATATAAAATCGATAAATCTAGCAAAACCAAATCACAGTAAAGATGCTGTAGAGTAAAGAACATTTTATCAAGGAATCGAATTCAAATTCCTAATAGACACAGGAGCATCCGTATCTATAATAAAAGCGGAAAAGATAAAACAAACGAAATAATTTTATAATCCTAACGAAAAAGTTACGTTAAACGGTATCAACCCTAATTCCTCAATTTCTACCGCGGGTACTATAAATCTCAAACTCCAGGCAGACGAATTCGAATTTCCTATCAAGTTTCATATCGTGAAACAAGAATCTAATATCCCACATGACGGCATAATAGGAAATGATTTTCTAACTACACAAAAATCAGCGCAAATTGATCTCAATAAAAATGAACTCAGAATAAAATCGATTCCTAATCCAATTACAATTAATTCTAAATCTAATCTTCATATTTCAGATGCGACATCAGAGACTATAATTGAAATTAACATCAAAAACCAAAACCTCACAGATGGCATTTGTCCAGAAATACAGATTTTCGAAGGAGTTTATCCCGCAAAATCAATCGTTAAAGTAGTGAATCAAAAAACCATCACCACAATTTTGAATACAACCAATAGAAAATTAAGAATAAATAATATAGAACTGTTTCGTGAACCATTTATCGAAAATCAGTCAACAATTTTAAATATTCACGAAAGGAACCAGGGAAATTTCAACAGACTAAATACTCTCTCGAAAAATCTTAGGCTCGATCATCTGAATTCAGAAGTGAAAAATTCGGTACTGAATATTTGCAACGAATACGACATTTTATATCTACCGGATAATGATTTGACTTTAACCAATGCTGTTGAACATGAGATCAATACCACAGATAATAAACCCATTGTGTCAAAAATCTATAGATTTCATCAAATCTGGATTTCATCAAATTGGCATATGAGAATCTGATATACCTAAAACAGCATTCTCTACCCCTTCTGGTCATTTCGAATTCACTCGAATGAGTTTCGGTTTAAAGACAGCACCAGCTACATTTCAAAGATTAATGACAAATATCTTGACAAGACTCCTTGGACTACAATGATTCGTATATCTCGGCGATATTGTAATATATGCGAGTTTATAACGATTTTCGGGATTCCTGAATCAATATTGACCGATCAAGGAAGCGACTTCACCTCAAATTTAATTAAACAAACCGATAAACTCTTCAAAATCAAACATATACTATCTAGTCCATATTATCCACAAACGAACGGAGCTTTAGAAAGGAGCCATCTGACTCTAAAAGAATATCTGAAACATTATATAAACAGTCAACAAAATGACTGGGATGAATTTGTAAGTTTAGCAATGTTTACTTATAATGGTCATGTTCACAAAAGTACAAGTTTTACCCCATATGAACTTATATTTGGACATAAACCATCAATTCCAAACTCCAGAATTTCGATATTCTTATGATAATTATTATTCTAATTTGAAATTAAAATTTAATAAATCTTATCAAATAGCAGGAGATAATATAAAAAATTCTAAAGAAAAATCAAAACAATACTATGATCGAAATACACTTCGAAATNGAAAACATAAAAAATTCCAAAGAAAAATCAAAACAATACTATGATCGAAATACAAGACATCAACACTTCGAAATAAATGATCTGGTATACGTTCTCAATCTAGACCCGGATTGAATAAAAAACTTTCAGCAAACTATAAAGGGCCATATAAAATAGTGAAAGTCAACGATAATCAAACATGCGATTTAGAAATAAAATCTAATAAAATAACCACATATCATAACAATTTATTGAAACATTTTGTTTCAGATGAGGAAAATTGCAACGACTCTGGTCCTTTTAATCCTATTCCTTAATATAACCCAAACCCATTGTCTTTCATCTGATCCTTATTACACAATTAACCCTTTGTTTGAAGGTGATTGACAATGTTTCGTGATGAATTTCACTAGTTCGGACTTCCATTGTCTACTACAGCTATACTCTAAGTGTGTTCCGCGGAACCCTAGGGTTCCATGATACCTCTGTCGGGGTTCCGCAAGAATTAAGAAAAAAAAATCAAAACACCTATCAAATCAATTTTTGATAGATTACGACAAAACAATTTACTACTTCAGCCAGATAAATGCGAATTTATGAGACACGAAGTCACGTATTTAGGACATATAATCAATGAATCCGGTATTTCTCCAAATTCCGAGAAAGTTAAGGCAGTAATGGAATACCCAACTCCAAGAAATCCGAAACAAATCAAACAATTCTTAGGAACTGCTGGATATTATAGACGTTTCATCGAAAACTTTTCCAAGCACGCTAAACCTCTGACAAACCTCCTCAAAAAAGATAATCCTTTTATTTGGTCCGAAGAACAACAAACATCATTCGAATATTTCAAAGAAGTCTTGACTCATCCACCAATATTACAATTTCCAGATTTCGAAAAGGAATTCATACTCACAACTGACGCATCTAATTATGCAATCGGTTCTATTTTGTCTCAGGTAACAGCCGGTAAAGATCTTCCAATAGCTTATGCTTCGCGAACTTTAAATTCTCACGAAATAAATTATTCCACTACGGAAAAGGAACTCCTCGCAATCGTATGGTCTACGAATCATTATCGACCATACCTCTATGGACGCGAATTCACTATCCAAACCGATCACAGACCGTTAGTATGGCTCTTCAATTGCAAAGACCCTAGTTCACGCCTTCTCCGTTGGAGACATGTGTATTGCGACATGTAAAAGTTCATGCCGAGAATATATTTAGGTGTGAAAAATATGTGTCTTTTTCGCTGTAAAATGGATTGTTGTGAGTGTACACATTGTTCTGGAGAACTTCCAAACTCCGTTTAGCATGATGTTCGCAATGAATGAACTCTGTATTCATTTTCATAGTCAAACCACACTCCACCGTCAGATATTGCAATATAGTGTTGCATTTCAAATGATTAGATTCTATTACAATACGTGAAAGTTCTTGTTAGGCGAGCATATGCATGTGTGAGAAATATCAATCTATTCTACTGCAAAATGGCGTGTGTTGACCCTACGCATCTCTTTCGGAAACTCCGCAAATCTCCGTATAGCATAACCTTGACAGTGAATAAACTCACGTTGAGTTTCAAGCCCAAACCAAACTGCTTTCCAGTTGATATCATATCAATATCATCTACTATATGGCTTCAGATTTGTAATAGATTATGTTTCGAAAAGAAAAATGTAGTGTGACATTTTTAATTAATACATCGTTTTAAGGCATGCGGAAGTTCATGTAGTGGCATGCATATGTGTGAGACATATCAGTCTGTTCTCCTGTAAGATGTCAAGTGTTGACACTACATGTCTACAAATTTCCGTCTAGTATGACATTGGCGGAGAAGTCAAAGTCAAATTTTATTAAAAATTTTTGATACATGACACGTCACATTTTACAACAGATATTTTATCTGATATCACTTATATAAATAACAGCACATGTTACACAAAAATATTATTTTCATACTCTTTCAGGGAGTAAAAACAACTTGTTACCAAAAAGTCTTTGACTTTTTTCTTGAATTTGAGAAAATTTGTTTCACTTCTGATGCTGTGTGTTAATAAGTTGAAATATTTTGCCCCGGCATAAAGTGGTGAACCTTTGTAGTCATTACGGTTTATTTTTTCCTGATGGAAGTCGTTCCTCCGTCTCGTTTGATAAGAGTGAATTTCCTCATTTCTTGTTATCAAATGGGAATGTTCATGAACGTAGCTTAATATTTTGTGAAGATAAATATATATGGTAATATGGAAAATGTTTTGTCTTGGAATGTTTTCTTACAAGATTCTCTGTATTTGAGATCAAAGTTAGTCTAATGAAGCGTTTCTGCATTATAAAGATTCTATGTATTTCTGATGAGTATCCTCAAATGGTATTATTTATATTGATCTCAAATGGATTCGTTCTGAATGAAAATGAAACCGATCCGATGGTTTTCTCAACTCGTGAATTGGATAAAAGTTTCTAAGTAAAGTTGAATAACGAATCTATAGAGCTAAAGCATTCAATTTGATTCCTAGGAGTTTTCATAGATATCCGGCTTTCTTGGTTTGACCGTGTTAATTTTGTTCTCGAGAAATTTGCAACACAATGTTTCGTTCCATGGCACCCCTGATCTAAAGTTAATATCGACTTGTTGCGTTTGTACTACTTAGTTGTTTTCTTCTGGGCAATATTGTTCATTATCATTGTTACAATTATGAATGGTGAAATGAAGTTATTTTTATTCTGACTCATCATACATGGGGTTTTCAAAAATTATATTTATTTCAATATACATCTCAAAAAATGTAGTGACAAACTGAATAGAGTCAATGCAATGTTTTTCTAGTTGATGCAACACGTCAGACTTCCATTGGTGAACAGGGATTTCCTTATGACGAGGGTAGACAATGAAAAACTTATTATAGAGAATAATGAATGTAAAGAACTCCTTCTTGAGGCAATGAGGTATCACTTAGCACCTGAAAGAAGATGTGTCTTATCTACAACGCGCACAATGGAAAGAAAGCCCAACGGTGCTGACCCTTATCTTTTTGCCATAGGTATGTTTTCTCTTTTGAAATCCGACTATAATTCACGAAAAATCCATTAATAACTATTCTGTTGTATTTCTATTGAACTAATTCATTTTTTATCTTCAGGTGGTGGATCTCTCTTTGCCATTCATTCCGAATGTGAAGTTTACAATCCAAAATCAGATTCTTGGTCAGCAATAGCTCCCATGCAGTGGAGAAGGTCTAGATCTGGAGTAACAGGACTAAGAAGGCTCCTATATGTTGTTGGAGGGTACGTATATACTTCTGTGTTTATTGTTTTGAAATTATTTCTCAAGGTACGATGGAGCGTCTGACCTGGCGACAGCGGAATACTATAACCCTCTTAATAACTCTTGGTATTCTATCACGCCCATGGGTACGAAGAGGTCTTGTTTGGGTGAGTGTTTCATCACGTAGAAGAAAGCTTTTGGTTCAATTAGTGTTATCTAATGTTTTATTGAAAATAATAATCAGAAGGATACATTCATTACTGTTAAACACGCATGAAGAAGCTATTGTATTGTTGAATGCATGCTGCGACTCTGTGAATTGTTTCGTGAAAATATCACAGTGAAGTAATATTCGATACGTTTTCAATTTGGGAGAAAGTTATGACGTATAGTTTATCGGTATTTTGTGTGATTTGGATGAGATGAAACGAAGTTATTCGTGTGTGGATGGAAAGCAACACAATGAAAAATGTCGCCTTTTTTTGAGATATAACAAAACATAACACTATACAGTGTCCAAAATAGGAATGAACAGCATGGGGATATCGGAAACGGTAAGTGATACAGGGTCGATTGAATTAGAGAAAAGTAGCGGATTTATGTGCATAATAATATGCTATTCAAAAAGTTTTAATATTTCGAGGAGTTTCGGAGATATCCGAGAAAAACCGAAATTTGAAAATTTCGTTTTTATTTTCTCCTAACTTTATTGTCGAACGAAATGTACTTTGCGGACACTTTTTAAGGACTACACGATAACGTAAGCAGAATTTTTCTGCGACGTTTCGTCTTTTAGAGAACATCATCAATTTTATATTTTTATTTGGGCCAAAACTAAAGTATACCCAGTATACTCCGTTTTTCATCGTGAATACAGCAACGTATCACATACTATGATTTCGTAATCACACGTTGAAAGGTAAGACCTTGTTAATCCTTAGCTCGCACAAGTTTCGACTTCTGAGGGTTGTCATTCGTAGGGGTACGACAGCTGGTTAACGAAGAACAGATTTCAAACAAATTTATTTTTTAACAGATTGGTTCCTATACTTTATAACCCAGTGGTGATTTTCAGTAGACCAGTATCTGCAATTTTGAGCAGATATCATTCCATTGGTAGTGAACGTAGCGTCATTAGTGAATACAATTTTTTTAGGAAACTTCTATCGTTTAGCCCAAAAGCAATAATCTGATCATTTATATTCGTCAGTTTCTTTCAATGTTTGCAAAAACTTTGGTTTTAAAGGTTCAATTTTATAACGAACGAAACATTTTTTTATTTTTTCCCTACTCGAATTCAATTGCTCAGACTATTTACGTTAACTGATTTGAGGATTGGCATCAGGACACCTTCGATTTCGATGTGGATTGTCAATAGTTAGATGATTCTTTATTACACTTCGTGTTCAAGAAAAACGTATATTCGCGGAGGCTGCCATTCCATGTCGAATACAATTTTGATGCGGATATCTTCTGTTGAATTCTTAAACAACTCATCTGCTGCTTTGAGCACCATTAACAAACTACCGTTTAATTTCAATTTTTCCCGTATATAGAGACGTTCAATGGGCATTTCGTTACTGTTTCTGATGCATTCACTTCCATATTGACATCTAGGGTATGAATAGTTCATTTGTTTCCATGACACTCTATCCCAACATTCGAAAGGAAATTAAAAAAATCCTTAAAATGAAGACAGGCTAGTAAAGGGGACTAAATTCGAATGACTCACATTTGATAAAATGATAATTTTCAATTTTATTTCAATACTTTTTGTTTCCATTGATTTTGACTATTTAATTATTTCTGTAGCTTCTTATTAAAAATCTATAACTAAAAATCGGACCTGAATATGATAATGTAATGAATCTGAAGCCGGCCCTGACCGATGTCCCAGTCAGCAAACGCATGTCTGATCGCGAAACAGCGGGAAAGGTGTGGATGGGTCCCGAAATCCGCAGAGAAATCCGGAACGTTCGTTGACGATATAAAAAATGACGCTCTCCGTCCCGAGGGGTAGTCTGTACTTAGAAAGTGAATCGTGCGTTTAAGGAAAGGAATCTAATTGTGAAGATAAATTAAGCGTTAGTTACTAAGTGTTGTACATAAATTAGTTGTGATAGTGAAATATTGTTCAAAATATATCTGATTAAGACAGTTCATTCTTTAATTTGTTACAATAATAACAAAAACAAATTACTTTTGAGTCTTACGACACTATAATTCTGATCATTTCGACAGTGGATGCAATTTTTTTTAGTGTATAATTGTTTTCACTTGACAGAACTATAGTAAAAAACTGTTTTAAAAATGAAAAGGGCGGATTACATATCACTTTGTAATACTGAGGCATCAAATGAACTGATCACCTGCGGCCATCTTGGTTCTATAATGATACAGAATTCATTAAATTTTATTGTCATCAAAACCAAATGGGTGTACTGAATATCAGATCAATCTGTCATCAGGAAGAGGGTTAAACTTCAGTTACTAAATTTGACTGAAACAAACGAACAGATCAAGCCAAGTTAAACCGTTCAAAATTCAAGTCCTTTAACTGAATTTTGTTTTTATAAATGTATATGAAGTGAAGGGCCTTCTAGAGTTAGGAATGTTCCAAAAAGTTCACGAAACCCCATTTTCTATGAAGTGTGACAAAATTGGCCATAACAGTGGTTGAAAGTTGATAAACATCAAACCATTCTGTTACCAACAAATGTTTTGAGGCCAACTGAGGAAATCAAATGATAAAACTTTTTATGATTCACATATATACAGTTTGTAAAAGCCAAATGGAATAAATCAATTATTTCGGTTACTGTACATATTTGAAAAAAGTCTCGAAACATATCAAATGTAAATTTCAATTTGACATTCTTCAGCGTAAAAATGCCACCCCTACCTTCAACCCCCTTCGAATGACAGATACAATCCCCAATTTTAAAATGAGAAGTCTAGGTTTGTGATATATCGTTTGAAAGGTTTCTTTATTGTCTATTCAAAAATGTTATCGTTTCAAGTTCATTACAACAATTGAGATAAAATAAATTAAAATCATGTGGTTACCAAAATTCGATAAAACACACTCAAAAACTAAAATGTAATGCAAAATGTAATGAAATGTACAATACGAAAAAGATCTATGGTTGTTAACGAATAAGATGTTCAAAATGTTCACCGCGAGCATCTTGACAGCATCGTTATCTCAAATAAAACTGTCTTGTAACATTATTCATCATATCAGGCGTGACTGACCTAATCCCAAGCGTTATTCGTTCTTTTAAGTCATTCAATTCTGAAGTTTTAGTTTTTTACACATTACCCTTTACATATCCCTATAAAAAGAAATCTAATGATGGAAGATCGCGCTGGCCATTTAATCGATCCTCCCCTCCTTATCCACCGATTGGGAAATTTTGTATGGAGGTATTGCCGGATATTAACTTGGTAATGTAGTGGTGCTCCATCCTGCTGAAACTATATAATATTCACTGGAAATTGGGGGTTTTCTGAATCAGGATATGAATTTGCCAAGCTTGAAATAGTGCCAAATAAGTATCGCCATTCAAGTTGACCTCAATGAAAAAGGGACCAATAATATGGTTTTCTACAATCCCTGCATAAACAATAACCTTTTGATGGTATTGCGTGTGTTCTCTCATCCAGTGAGGATTTTCCGTTGACCGGTAGCGGCAATTTTTTGCCGATTAGTATGACCGTTAAGAGAAAAAGTACACTCATCAGAAAACAACATTTTCCAATTGGATGACATTGTTATCCAACATGTCCATCATTTGCTCACAAAAACAAGGCCTTATATCAAAATCGTTTTCCATGAGTAGATATCATTTTATAGGGACGCATTTTATTTTCTTTCAATATGTTCAATGTAGTGCATCCGTGTCTAGTCAATGTATGTGGATTTTTCTCAAATTCAAGCACCACATCTACTTGAGTTCATCACTCATTCCATTGGCAGCTGCTTTTTCATCTGCCACACATGACCAACTCGCGAAACTGCTTCTCCATTTTGCTTATTTTTCCTTGAGATATGTCCAGTAAATGAGTAAATTTTGCATGAAATAGGCGAGCTACTTTCTTTTGTGTTGTATTTGTTACACTGTTATTTTATGTATTTCCGTTAATCTAACCATTTGTCAGACTTGAAGTTAACAAACTTCAAACTCAAATCAAAATACTAACAACTAATGTTGTAGCATCAAAGCTGCTTTTTCATCTGCCACACATGACCAAGCTCGCGAAACTGCTTCTCCATTTCGCTTATTTTTCCTTGAGATGTGGCCAGTAAATGAGTAAATTTTGCATGAAATAAGCGAGCTACTTTCTTTTGTGTTATATTTGTTACACTGTTATTTTATGCATTTCCGTTAATCTAACCATTTGTCAGACTTGAAGTTAACTAACTTCAAACTCAAATCAAAATACTAACAACTAATGTTGTAGCATCAAAAACAAGTTGAAAATGTTCTTTAAACTAACGTTGCCACGGAAATTATCTACAGTTTTTTAAAGGATACCATCTGAAAATAACATAGTTATGATTTTTGCTTACTTTCTCATCATCAATACCTCAACATGAAATAAGTTTTGAGTATATTGCAATAAGTTTCTAGTGTGTTTTATCGAATTTCGGTAACCACATGATTTTTATTTATTTTATCTCAATTGTTGCAATGAACTTGAAAGCGATAACATTTTCAATAGAAAATAAAGAAACCTTCGAAAGATATATCACAAGCCTATACTTCCCATTTAAGAAATTGGGGATTGTACCTGTCATTCAACGGGTGTTGAAGGTTCCGGTAGCATTTTTCCGTTGACGTATGTCAAATTATAATTTAAATTTGATGTTTTTCGAGATATCGTTAAAATATGTACCGTAACTGAAATAATGAATATATTCCATTTTTCTCTCACACACTGTATATTTTATAATATTTCTATTTTCCGCTTTTCATTTTATACTATTAGAGAGGCAATCTGAACACAAAAAATCCTTTTTTGTCAACTTCAACTCGTAAGTTCTAACATATCAATTATTTAATTCGTATTTTTACAGATCTGGGATTTTTTTATGTATGTATGTACTCTTTTACTAGATTTCGCAGCTTCTCTTGGTCGGGTGTCAAGTCCCTTTTCAAACCTAACAAATCTAAAATTTCGTCT